TATAAGAGCATTTTGATATCTTACACTGGGAAATGGACCGGAAATTAGTATGAATAGCAAAACTGCATCTTAAGCTCAACATGCCCTTGTTACATGTCTAACACTGGCCATTAGCACTTCCAAAAAACTGTAGATTAGACTTGCTAATCATATTGAATTTGTGCTTTTACAGTTTATGCTAACTTTTGGCTTGAACAGCCTAAATTCCCCACAGATGGCTTGAGTAATTTGATTTAAAAGGTACCATAAAAATCTACCAAATATTGTTGTATGTTACCCAAAATTTACTATAAACATTAACCAGAAATACGTTGTGATAAAACAGTAAAAACATAGATTTCTGTTTTTCTTTTGAATGACGACCTATAATCAGCAAAACACAGATTATCTCTTCAAAGAACTATAAGAAAAGACAAGCCAAGCGAAGATATGTCCCTTTACCAAAAAAACCCTGTGCTTTTTGCTTAATATAATCTCACTGCCTGTCTACCTAGTGTACAAGCCAGTGAAGAATTCTACCTTATATCCGTATGCGATATATGTGCAGTTTTGTGTATCTGTTCTCGAGCAATACTGCTTGCCTGGGTTCTGTTTGGTGCAAGTTGTCTATATGGGCACAGACTTGGTTTGTCTTGTCTATTGGCTGCTCCACATAGCAACGTATGAAGAAGCAGCTATATACTAACTTGTGCTGCTGCTATGTTATGATCTTTGCAGTAAGTGACTTGTCAATCTGTTCTTAGGTATAATGTTGAAGACTTGATCGTACATCCGTTTTTTACGCCCCTAATTAGCACAGTGTAGCCTGTACTTCCACCAAGTGGCAACATAACAAAATCACAACATGCAGCTAGGAGAGAGGGGAGAGGCCCTTCGACCCTGACTACAGTCCCTGCTAAAATGTAATCAAAGCATTGACGTGTTGCATTGAGGAATTTACCTTTCCTATTATACTGACAGTCTCAGGAGGAACATCTAACGGGTCAGTACAATAGAAGTGCCCTTCATCATATTTCTTGGAGGAAGGAGATAACTGCTAAGTCCAGGACATTTCACTACCACTTTCAGTTTACCTGGTCACCTGGTTGTCCTTGAAAACCCGTAATTCCTTTAAAGCCCTTTGGTCCCGGAAAACCCCGCGATCCTGGAAACCCCATCAGTCCGGTGTCACCATGGTCACCTGGCAGTCCTGGGACACCATTCTTCCCTGGAAATCCTGGGGTGCCTCTGAAACCAGTATTGCCTTTTTCACCTGAAATTAATTGCCGAACAAGATAATGACCAATATAGTCAAGCCATTATTTGACACTTATTTTGAATATGGGTATGCTATCACACTTTCTGCATTGCCTTAGTAATTATCCAAATAAACTAGCCTGCTAGTTGAAGAATCTACAAACACAATAAGGTTGCTGGATGTTACTGCAGCTACCAGTTCAAACCTGTGAAAAACACCAGTGATTTCTGTCAGATGAATGTGTGTGTATGCAGGGCTTTATTTTATGAACTTACCTCTTTCACCTCTAAATCCATTCTCACCAGGAAATCCTGGTTCCCCCTTTTGTCCTTTCTCAAGACGGATGTTAACGCAGCCACTGTCTCCTGGAGGCCCTCTTTCACCTTTGAACCAAACATATGGAATGTGAGTAAATCCTCACAAGTGACATGTCCTGAAAATTAATTTTAGCGAAGACTTCCCTAACAGAGAAAGCCTTCAAATACTAATGCAGTTCTCTGTTGTCTCAGCAGGCTCACTGCTAATAGAATTTATTATCCTTCTCTTGCTTTTTAGTTCATTCAGTAGTAACTCAGGTGATGTTAAATCAGAATTATTCCCTACTTGTCTGGAATATGAAAGATGGCAATTGTACTGTCCACTCCACAGTGTATTGTCTTTGATTTCACCTTGGAGATGGTTAGCCTCTTTTCTCTATTAATATTTAGAGAGTTTATTTCCTCTATATCTTACATTGACAAAAAACCCACAGAGAATATGATTGAAAACTTGAAAAACCTAAAGTTTCAGATGTGCACAGGACACAATTCAAGATTTGTTTCAATAAGTTATCTTACTCTGATTTAGTGGTAAATGCACCTATTGATCTGAGTGGAATTAATTTTGTAGTTATTTTTTATTATGCATTTAAGTGAGATGTCTGGATTTAGTATGTAGAAAATTTCTGCAAATAGAAATGAATATACCCCTATAACAAGAAGAAAAAGTAAATATATTCTTAACGCAGTAGTAACAAAATTAAACATAGCATAGCAGTAACACAACTACAGTGTGAAGCAGATTTTTACAAACCTTTCATTCCCATATCCCCGCATTCTCCGCTAGGCCCAGGTGGACCCATTTTTCCTTCTTCACCTTTTACACCAGAGATTCCCATTGGGCCTTGTGTTCCTGGGAGTCCTGGGAATCCTTGGGGTCCTTGAATCCCTTTGCTTCCTGATAATATTAAATGCTTTATTTACATAATCAGTCTACTATGCTGTTTCTGTCATATTCTAAGGAAGAGTATAAAGCAAAAGGCAGGAAGTTTAGAAAGACTCCATAGGAAAACAGCAAAGCTAGAGAACCAATAGTTGGAACATGGCTGCATGCCAAGATCAAACTTGTCTTGAAATCTAGATTGTCCTGAAGCAAATAAACATCTTCCCCTTCTTGCTGCCACCCCTTGGAGATATAGGCTACAGTTACTACTAAAGCAGCTATCCCCAACACATCTTAAATACAATGCATAGCCTAAGACACCACCAGACTTCTGGATGTGACTACTGGAAGTCACAACTCCTACTGTCCACGTGACAGAGGAAAACAGGATTTTCCTATAGTTACTCAGAACTTTTGCCCATTAGCCAGTGATGATTTGGCACCAAGGTCACATTTTTTTTAGGCATAATGTGAAGCTATTTCTCCACTTACTCATCAGCATACAATCACAGACTGCATCAGTAAAGGAGATAGTCTGGATGTAATAAAAAGTGTATCATTGTTATTATAGCATATTAAAACAACAACCTATTGCAAATAGTCAGGAAATAATACATGGAAATGTGTCAGTGTTGTAAAACAACTAAAGCACCAGGATGCACCAAGATGCATCAAACTATTTCTATCCCTTTGGTTTTATTATAAGAGAAAGAACAAAGGATGCTATTGTTACTGCCTCTGCCCTCCTGCAGGGTCTTATTCTCGGAGCTGGGAGAGGAGGGCGAAAAAGTACTTCCTAGCTTTAACAGCAGTAGAAATAGCTCCCCCTACAAGAGAAGTTATAGATGAGGTGGTTTGCAGGATGTTTAACATACCTGCTTGTCCTGGGAAACCAGGTGGTCCTTTTTCACCTGGAAGTCCTGGAATTCCTCGGGAGCCTGGAGGGCCTGGGGCACCTTGTGAGCCAGGAGAGCCTTGGAGACCTTTGCTTCCAGGTGGCCCAGCTAGGCCCCTGTCTCCCCTCTGACCTTTAAAGCCTGGTAAGCCTGAAAGAAAGAGCTTTAATTTATGTGTGCAAATACAGGAAAAGGGTTCAGCAATTGCACCTAAAAAGTAGAAAGCGATAGATTTTGGTATAAATTTGAATATCATCAAACATGGCAAAATAACTTGGAAACATTGCTACCATGCTGGAGTCCTGGCTCTGCCTAGATTTTTCCCCTGGAATGTTTTTCTTGTATTTCTTTAGTGAGAGACATATCAGTCGAAGCACCCCGTGAAAAATCTATGCTAATTCATAAATATTTTATATATATATATGTGTCCTAGCTCTCCCTAAATAACACTTCCATTTGAGAATAAGGAAGATAAAAGTATCACAGTAATGACAGGAGCTCAGGACAACAGAATAAGAGAACTCTTCCATTTATTACTTGACAGTGAACACACTGTGATTTGGCCAGTTAAGGAAGAGTATGGGAAGGAAAGAAAAGTTGGGAAACATCTGAGGTGCACACTATACATTCCTTGAGTTTAAGGAAATATGCAAAACATAATGTACGCATCCACTAATGAGCAGCCCCCTATGGAAATATTTGTCATGCCAGTCACAAAACTCGTGTGATTAAATCTGCTGTGATTAAAAAGATGTGCAAAGTTTAGAGCTGTGAGGCAACCTAATGGATGTTGTGTACCTTGAGGTCCTGGCAGGCCCCTGACACCTCTGCGTCCTGGTGGCCCCGGTAAGCCTGTGTCACACGGTGGACCAGGGAAGCCTGGACAGCCTGGTGCTCCTATATCACCTTCTGGGCCTCTAAAACCTTTGGCACCTGGAAATCCCGGTGTACCAGACTGTCCTGGAAACAAAAAACATTGTAAAATGTTTTACCTCCATTATTCACCATCCCTCAGAATTCCTAATTGTAATTTTGAAGTGTACGTGTTCAGTTATTGTAATATTTTACTTATCCTCTAGTTTTTGCAGTTTGAAAACTGATGCTTTTCTGCAATTTAGAATTGGCTGTTGTGGAGAGCTGCTTTCTTTAAGGAACAAATATGAATTCAACTCTCATCTACAGGTGAGGACAACTTTATGGCACAAAAGGTAGTATCTGATGTGTAGGAGCAGAATGGAAGGAGCTCACTGGCCTGCACCAACTACTCAGCACTAGGGTCAGTTCTACAGGTGTTCCCTACCCA